CTTTCCCGCCCTCTTTCTACCTTGGATGATTCTCCCTACCGTGAACACGTGGTCTACGCACCCCCTCTTCTTGCGGAAACCTGCCTGGCCCTCACTAATGCTATGTTCCTTCTCCAATACTCCCACTATCCTATCGTTCAGCAGCTTACAGAACACTTTTCCTACTGTGTTCGACAGTGTGATCCCCCTGTAGTTTCCTGGGTCAGTCTTGTCTCCTTTCTTGAACAGGTTCACAACCACTCCTTCCCTCCATCTACTTGGCGTATACTCGTTTTTCCACACCCAATTGTACAGCAGTACCATCAGCTGGATCATCCCCTTCCCCCCAATATGAAGCTGGGCCTTTTTTTTGCCCCATCATGTCTTCATCGATCACCCTTGTACGGAGCCTATTTTGTCGAGATATATCCCATTCGTGTTATGCTTACTCCGACTGCAACCCCCGCCCCGCCCCCCCGCACCGTGATCCCTGCGTCTCTTCTGGCGACACACGGAACCACATCAACAACGGCAAAAGGGCGCGGCGCTTCAGGAGGCTAGAGCGGGCAAGAAACGTCAGCTTCAGGATGACAACACCACCGGTCGTTCCAGTACCGGAGACGAAGAGACCGAGGACAGCGGCGGCGGAGGCGGCGGCGGCGACGACGGCGAAGCATCACCTCGCGACGACCAGGACGAGCAACAAAGAGAACCCGTGGTAGACGCTCTCCGAGCCAGCGCGGGGGAGGGGAAGGAGTCTGCTTTTTTCCAGGACTCCGGCGCTGTTCCCACGAAGCTGGAGCAGGAAGTGCAAGAGGTGTGTGTTCTGGAGGCTGACACTGACTTCCTGCCCGCTGTTTCTGTTTTTGTTGCAATGCTGGGCCCGATAAAGTGCCGGTGCCCGGTGAAGCGCCCGTCAAATCTCGGGACGCGGGTGTCCGCTCCTACACCAAAACCTATATATCCCTGTTCTGAACAGTGCCGGTCATACCGTCAAACCTGTGGGCACATGTCGGCACTGCGTCGAGCCCTCGACTGTAATGTTTTTTCTTTGTTTACACATTTACGTGCGATATTCTGGTGGTAAAAAGCCGTCATGGGGTGCAGGGTTTTGACGACGAGTATAGCGCCCGTTTACTCCCCATTGGCAGGATGATGATACTGAATATCGTGGCTCGACTGCTGTGGACAATCTCGGTTGAAACACGGTCGACTGGCTCGCTGGTGTCATTCCTGTTGCCGCTGCGTTTATTGCCGACCGTCGAGAATGGGACAGTGTCACCTTTTTGGGGCGGCGGTCATCATCCAGATTCGTGAAGAAACATATTTCCAGACTCGTGTACCAGTACACCTTTTTCGAGGCTCAGGTGGTTGACTGAATTTGTGTCCTGGCACCCATCCAGTGATCACCAGGCACGTTGCATCTTGATTTTGGGGTGGCATACATTGGGTGCACGCGACCACCATACAAGGCACACACCCCGCCCCCCCCCCGCCCCCCCCTGCCTTGCGCCTTACAACTTTGTTATTTCTCACGTCGATGCCTCCCCCTTCAACTCTTCTCTTTAACGCCCACGCGTCCCTCCAATCTATCCAAACCAATCGACGATAAATCGACGTGTGCCCGTTTTATTGCGAAAGTTGGAGGTGCTCTGCCGGGTGGTGTACGTGGACTCGGAGGGGCTGTCGGACGGCACATCCGTGAAGAACACGGCGGTGAACCTCGCGCCCAAGATGCTCATCGTCACGGGGGGGTCGAGGCGGGCGAAGGCCGAGCTCGTGTCTCACGTCCGGCAAGCGATGGAGCCCGTAGCGGCGGGGAGAAGAGGACGGGGGGGAGGGAAGGGCGGGGGCGGGGGCAGGGATAGCGGCGGCAGCGACGACGACGGCGAGGGGGAGGAGGAGGACCTCGCCTGTCGGTTCGTGGTGGTTAACAAGGCCATGGAGCCGGTGCCGGTCGCGCTCGACTCCGGAGCGTTCGACGTCCTCTTGCACGACTCGCTGCACACGCATCTCAAGTGGAAGCAGGTGCGTTTTGTCCGTCTGCTGTGTCTGGCCTGTCTCGTGCGCATGTTTTTATTGCTCTCGTGTGAGGTACTTTAAAGCGAACAACACCGCCTCGCGATTGACTGCTTTTTTGATGAGGCATTTCGACTCGATGCATGGCAGCTGGGAATGCGTGGGAGCGGTATTTCTTTTTGCACCGAATTCAAGTCCGGGTCCTGCTGGGTGTGCAAGACAAGAGACAAGGACGTTTTCCTTGATGTTTAACGGCTCTTTTGAACAGGGACAGATACAGTTTGTTTGCTCGAGGTACACGTCGCACGGAAAAAGGAAGAATACCAACTTGCCCCAAATTTTCTTATTGGCACCCTTTGCGCAACATGCACGGTTTCATCTCGTCGAGAGCAAGGCAGGATTCAAGAAAGACATGTTGGAACTGTTTTGCTACTTCCCGCAAGCCCGAAGAAGGCCTGGATGAAACTGTTTTGCTGCTTCCCGCAAGCCGGTGACTCGTGCCACCCAATAGCGCGACGCCCCTCGTGCACCCTCCTCTACCTCTCCGCCGACTCAGTCCATAGCGGGTTTCATGACCGTCAATACTGCTGTCGCATCATTGAACACGCGGCAGATGACATACAACCACCTCGTCGACTGCGCCCCGTTCTTGTTCGTGCTTCGTCTGCACATGGAGAAACAAGAAACACGTGAACATCGGCGACCCCACGTAGCCACCGCTACCGCCACCGCCACCGTACGAAAGACCCAACACAGGTCAAGAGTAATGTAGCGACCCACCTTCCTTCCCTTGCTGATCCGCGCTTGTGGCAGCTGAATAACTACGGGGTTGCGCACGTGGAGTGCCGAGTCGACCCCCGGGGCGATGTACCGCTGCTCTGCGCGAAGCCGCGGGCGGAGAGGGTGGGGCACCCGGCCATGTTCCTGAGCGTGGGGAAGGTGAACGTCACGCCACAAATCCTACAAGTGAGTTGGCTCAAGACGATTACACAGCGTTTTACGTCTCGCCCCTGCTATTTAGGTTGAAGTGGTCAATTATGTTGCCTCTCGGTCAGCAGCGCTGATCGAGTGGTGTTAAAGGATTAGCCCCTTTTGTCGTAACGTCGAGGTGACCGACTACTTGTTATCGAATTTCGAACACCGTCCAACCGTGGAAAACGGAACCAGACCGCTTCTGTACGTAGGCGCACTTCTGCTGTTCCGCAGCTCATCTGAACTCTCCTCTCTTCTCCTCGTCACGCGCACACGCATGCGTTTCTCGTCGGGGGGTTGCTGAAAGTGTGGTTTTGGCATCCTGGTGTTGGCCAGTTTTCGCATTTCTGCCGCCTACGGGAAAACTTGGTTTTGCTTACTGACTCCGGGATCTTGAGACTGGTCAGCTAGTTACCTCATTCGATGCTATCGAAAGAACAAACAGGGAAGATGCGCTGCGGGCGAGTGCGCTTGTTCCATGGGTGGGTGTTTGATTTGCTTGTTTAAAATGTTGACTTGACTTGACCGCTCTTGTATGGTCTGCCCCGTTGGTCGCCATTACTTTTGCCGCCTTGTTTCAAAAACGACACAGCTACCGACACCGCGCAACCAACGATACACAAGAACGTTAACGATGACGAAATCACCTGAAACACACGGCAGGCGTTCAAGAAGGCCAATGTCAGCTTCGAGTTCGTTGCCGGCAAGGTGCTGTTAGAAGGAGGCGTCACGGTCAGTCAGGGTAAGGGGGGAAATATAGAGCTGGAGGGTCCCCTGTGCGACTCGTACTTCAGAGTCCGCGATATCATTTACGGAGAGTACATAGTCGTATAGCACGGAGGAGGGGCTCGTATTGGTACACTGGAGAGCTGTGTTTTCTCGTGCTGGTCTACGATGGGTGAGGGCTATGCCTGGCGTCGCATCAGCTGGAGCTCACGTCAAGGCAGCGTTGTGATCCTGTGGGAATCGACTAGGAGTTGTCGACCGTGTCGTGGGGTGTACTGCTGTACCTCAAGGAAGCGGAGGGCATCGATGGAAAGACGCACCCCTTGCCTACCCAGTATTAGATCCTATGCGCGCATCTTCTGAAGTTGCCCCGCCGCCCAAACGGGGAATTTGAGGGGGGGGGGGGGGGGGGGGGGAGGGGGGTAGTTCTCGCGCACCTTTTCACACANGGGGGGGGGGGGGGGGGGGGGGGGGGGGGGGGGGGGGGGGGGGGGGGGGGGGTCGATCTGTCTATCAAAATGCGATGAATGGATTATGTCCCCATTTCAATGATCTTTAGGGTTGTGTGTTTCCGAGTGGGCCGAAGTGCCGGTGTTCCACAGCGAACTGCGGTAGTCTAGGCGTTAACTTCGCGGTATGGTCGTAGTCTTTCCTGCGGTATTTGATTTGCAAGTATGATGTATCAGCAGTGGGCAGTCTCGCAGTGCGTGTTTTCCTGTAAGTGTAGACCAGAGGATGTTTGTGGTGCTCGATTGGGCGTGCTTCGAAAAATGACCGCGACTGAGCCAACCCCCCCTCGTGTCCGTAAAGGTCGTGTTGCTGGTCTCGTTCGTCTCCGTATGGTGGGTTATGTGCGGCACGTGCCGAGCCTGTCCGTGCCAGCTTGTGTGCGTGAATGATACATGTATGCACAGCGATTAGATATCAGCAGCAGGAAGCACTGATTCCCGGAGAATCTCGTCTTCTCTGGGGCGTTTTCGCCGCCATCTCCCCATCTCCGAGAGTCATGTGAATAGTCACGGTATTCTGTCAATCTTTCCTGGCAAATGTCTTCGGACGGTGGAACATTGTTCATGTAGACTAGTCCGATCTTTCCTGGTCGCATGTGCATCATTACCTCTAGGAAGATAATTTTTCCTGGTTTCCACTTTGCATTTGCACTACCTACACCTCTGTGCGTGCTTGGTTGAGTCGCCGGTTTGGTTCATAGAAGAAGGTGGCCGGTTGTTCGCGCTGTCTACAAATCCACGTAAAGTTTAAGTAGGCAAGAAGACTGGTGTCAGACATTATGTACCACACAGACAGGCAACGAGCTGACAGCTCTGTGAGATGTTTTTCGGAGACCAATAGCGACCGCCATGCCTGTAGCAATTATGTTGTTCCTCCCCCGTGCCAATGTCACATTTGGTCATTGGGCGTCGAAGGTGACATGGCGAAACACAGGGAACGTCGCCCACAAGGAAAAAAAGTAGACACAAGTAAGTCTAGTCTACACTCACCGGTCGCCACGGTGGTCTAGTGGGTAGCCTCGTAGCCTGCTAAAGGCCAGGTCATGGGTCCGAGTCCCGACAGAGTGAGTTTTTTCTCGCTAATTAAATCCTGGTCTCCGTTGGAAGCGACGCGCTGCAAAGCTCGTTGTTAGTAAACTTGATCGACTTCATAAGTCGCGAGGGAAGGGATTGCTGTACCCTCGTCGCGATAAAAATATCTCAGGCAGGAACCGCGGGAGGGGGTCCATCCCCCCCTCCTGTGTGACCCCGGCTGGGTCGTCTAGCTTTAATGTTTCTTTTATCTCCTCAGAAAGGATTTGTTTTGGTACATGTGGACTTGACTTCAGAGCCGAGTACCAAGTACACGACCTCAAGGACTACATACCCCCGCCTGTTACTCCGAGCTCCGAATAAGGCTAGAAACTGTTCGCGAAATAAATGCGGTACAAGCTGGGCCAGCCAAGAAAGGTACAAAATGGTTGAAAGCGATTTACACCACGGTTTTTACGAATTCGAACCTGAATTTTTGACATGTGGTCGGCACTAGTATAGCGAAGACCTTGCCTAGCTGCACCTTTATTCATTTTTATTTTTCCACGAGGTAGTCTAGCCCTATTTAAAGACAAATGGAAATCCTATTGCTGTGCGTAGGGGACTAAAAAATAAATTAATTAAAGGTGCGTCTGGTCAAGGTCTTCGTGATACAACAGCCGACCACACCTCAAAATTTCAGATCCCAACTCGTTAAACCNCGAACCTGAATTTTTGACATGTGGTCGGCACTAGTATAGCGAAGACCTTGCCTAGCTGCACCTTTATTCATTTTTATTTTTCCACGAGGTAGTCTAGCCCTATTTAAAGACAAATGGAAATCCTATTGCTGTGCGTAGGGGACTAAAAAATAAATTAATTAAAGGTGCGTCTGGTCAAGGTCTTCGTGATACAACAGCCGACCACACCTCAAAATTTCAGATCCCAACTCGTTAAACCCGTGATGTAATTGCGATAACCTCACATTTCCTTTGCTATCTTGTGTGTTGTGTCGGATTCTGCACGAGGCCGTATCTCTTGGCAGGAGAAGATGATTTGAGCCTTGTAAAAAATAAGACTCATCATTTTTCTCGCACTGCTCCCAGGTAAGTGCACACCAACTTTCAGCTTATTCGGTGTAACTGTTTTTATGCTGATTTCAGTACCGGAATTATCCCCCCCTACGCCGCCAAAATATGGTTTAGTACCTTAATCAACTCAGATTCGAACAATTCTGGCACCTGCGCTTCCCGTACTGTCTCATTGGAGCTTGGAGCAGCCGAAAAATTTCAAGCCCAAATTCGTGGAAACGACAGAATGAGACTCGAACGAACGAAAGTGAGCTTTTCGCCTGGCCCAGCTTGTAGCTGGAAAACGACAGTGGACAGTAGTAAAGCGGCAGGGTTCTTCTGTGGGCTGAACTATGGGCCGTCGCGGTCAGCAGCAGCGCGTAGAGACGGAAAACAGAGCTCACAGGATCGCAAAGCGCAGAACGCTGAGCGGTGAGTTCGGTAACCACAAGGGAAAGAACCCTGAAAAACCCATCCCCCCCTCGAGCCCACCAAACATATCTGCGGAGTCCCCGCCTATGGGTAGCAGCGCACCTATACGTACAGCAGTAGCAGTTCGCAGCAGTGATCATGATCAGTGACTTCTTGTCGCTATAGAGACGATGAGCGATGGGCGTTCGCGAGACAGCCAATCTTGGGACGAAATCTTTGAAAGCGAAACAGGTCTAGAAGAGGAGTCGATGGGCTCATGGAAATCATCACCTCGATATCCTTATCCTGCTAGCAGCGCCGGCGGTGCCGGTGGTGAGAGATCCCGGAGTGGTTCACTGGAACCTTCAGGGATCGAGGTAGGTCGCCAGACAACTACTGCTCGGCGTCATCCAGCCCGAGACTTGGAGCAGGAAGACGACGACTGGTATGATCATCAACAAGGCCGTCACCATGTGCCTCGCGCCAACAGGTCGGGGTTACAGGTATGATGAGAGTTTTTGAGTTTTTGAATGCATTTCCCGCAACAGGACAGGTGTCGATCAACAGGAGGTGTCGATCAGGTGCAGGTCGCGAACATGAGTTGAAGAAACCTGTTGCTTTGGTTTCGTCCCGACGCGATGATCGTGTCCTCCTTCACAGGACCCTTCCCGTGCTCATGACCGTCGCCAGCCTCGACAGCAGTATCACGAACGTCCCCCACCTGATGCGATTGAAGGGAGGCAGCAGCTGCGGCTAGCACAGCCTACGCGCGGCCAGGAGTATCGGCCATCATTCCAACCCCAGCACCGAAATCGCGGACAACAAGATCACGCCAGTGAGGAAACAAGCGCTAACATGGAGCGCAGAGGCCACGCGCATCCTTCGGTAGTTCGACCCCAAGGGTCAGCCCCGCCGACCGATCCGCGTCGAAGGCGGCCGCGTCCACAACCTCGAAAGGCTGACGTGTCTCCAACTGCGAGCAGTGCCAGCGGGAGCAGCACCGCGAGGGCTTTTGTTCCCACTGCTGCTGCTGCTTCTCCTCCTGCGGGGCGCTCGTCTCCGCGGGAATTAGCCGTAAATGGCACTCGGCGTTCGGCATTCCCGCGTGGCATAGACTACAACGGCGTTGGGGTTCAGGTGGGAACATTGGCTGAGGAAGGGAGGGAAAGAGGAGACGGGAAACGCTGGGCCGCTGGTTGCGATGGCGCGCCAAAGGGCTCATTCCCGGAGGAGGAAGAGGAGGAGGAGGAGGAGGAGGAGGAGCATCTTGCTTATGGTTCTGGGAATTACCACGAAGAGGGGAGCCGAGCATACGACGCTGCTGAGCATGAACCGGAGTTTCGAGGGGTCAAAGCAGAACCCAGGCCCACCGATGCTCGATTCGCTCGTCGATATTCGGCGGAGGCCGGCGGTAGCGAACGTGACGACCGCAGTAGCAGCAGCNGGAGGAGGAGGAGGAGGAGGAGAAGGAGAAGGAGGAGGAGGAGGAGGAGGAGCATCTTGCTTATGGTTCTGGGAATTACCACGAAGAGGGGAGCCGAGCATACGACGCTGCTGAGCATGAACCGGAGTTTCGAGGGGTCAAAGCAGAACCCAGGCCCACCGATGCTCGATTCGCTCGTCGATATTCGGCGGAGGCCGGCGGTAGCGAACGTGACGACCGCAGTAGCAGCAGCAACAGCATCGAAGGCAGGGGCCGGATGAGACCGCCAGGGAAAGGCGTCCACGAAGAGGTGCAGCGTCACCAAAGACGAGACGGTGTCGACGGCGATGAAAGCCGCAGGCTGAGAGAGGGACGGAACCTTGGCGGTGATCGACAGCCCTCCCGTCTCGCCGTTACGATGGAGAGCGTGACTTTGGGCGGCAGACGTGCTCCGCCTCCCCCTCGTGGGCCCCACGGGGGTAGGGGTGTACACGTGCGTTTGCCTCTTCAGGGTCGGCCAGCTCCCCCCGCGCACCACGGCGCGTTGCTCCCGCCCAGAGGAGCTATGCCGCAAGATCACAACCCTCATTGGAGGCAGCAGCAACAGCAGTTCCCCCCGGGGCGAGGACTGCCGCCGCCCCGTGCCAACATCGGCGCCGTGCCTCAAGGCGGGTATGCTCACGGCTCTGCGTCACCTCCGCCACGGTGGCCAATCAACCAGCACGCGGGTGCAAGGCCATTCCACGGGGGTGGCGTCGGCAACGCTAGCGAAGGCGGCGGATTTCATCATCAGCAGCAGCAGCCGCCGCCGCATCATCATCAGCAGCAGCAACAGCAAGCTCGTCTGCCCATCAACCACCCTCGTGCGCCTTTGGCACCTCCAGGTCCTTCGAACGGCGGAGGGCAGGAGCGCCGTTCTGCCTATGCCACGGCCATGCACAACAAGAGGTTCATGGGGGCCTCGGGTAACCAAGGGCCGGGCGGTGGGGCAGGAGAGCCACAACAAGGGCTGTCCGCCGGCGGTGGCGGCGGCGGTTTTGGGCTGCCGACTGGCCGTCCCCCGGTGATGGCCCCGCGCGGCGATCCCCGCCCTCCTCTCGTCCGGCATGGATTCCAAGGACGGGGACCACCCGCCCGTGGGCCTCCGGGGACCGGCGCTTTCGGGGGCATCGGCATCGGTGGCGGCGTCGGTGGCGTTGGCAATATCGGGAGGCTGGGTGTTGCGCCGCCGCAAGGACGGGGACCACCCCCCCGTGGACCTCCGGGGAATGGTGCTTTCGGGGGCCTCGGCGGGGGTGTCCGCGGCGGTGGTGTTGGCAATATCGGGAGGCCGGGTGTTGCGCAGCCGTGGGTTTCATTGGGAGGAAGCAACGAGGAAGATGGGGAAGGGTTCCCACTGGTCCATACCAGTCCGGAATGGACGCCGGCGTGGGTGATGAAACGGGATCATCGCAGCGGCACCGTCCAAGGTGCGTACCGGGGCAACGCTGGTGGTGGTGATTGTGAGGCTGGCACTAGCGTTGGTTGTGGAGAGGAGGGGGTGGGTGGGGATGAGCGTGTTCAGCGAGAAAGCGCGATGAGCGAGAGCAACGGGAGCTCTGCAGCAGCAAGGGCGGCGGAGGGAAGAAATGAGAGCGACCGTCCGAGGCTTTTGGTCGAGTCTGCTGTCCGTGATAAGGAGGAAGAGGAAGCTGGTAGCTTGGCAGGCGCAGCAGTTGGCGAAGGCGGCAAACCCGCCACTGATGCTGGAGGTGCCACTGCTTCTTCTTCTAGTTGTTCTTCGGTGACACTCCTGCCCCCCTGCGAGCGGCGGTTGGAACCTTCCCCTCTCTCCAGACTGACGTGGAGTGTCGGAGACTTGATGAATAGTTTCCCTGGGTGAGAAACGTCGAGTAACTCTTTAAGACTAGGCGCCCACACACGTGAAATTCGCGTCAAAGGAAATCATCGTCCCCTATGTAGGTACCTATGGTCACCATACACCATCTGAAATTATCCTTGGCACATGCATGACAAGGGTTGTGGGCGTTTTTGACCTGTTGGCCGGTTGTTCTTATGCGCGGACAACTCGTAAGTGTTCAACATGGTGCGGGCCTGCTTGCATGTAGAGCAGCAACGTCTTCCGTCGACGTACCACACCTTCCTCTGCCCGCCTGTCCCCCGCGTCGCCTCTTCCAGGCTCGCCATCCCCGACAGCTTGACTCACGCGATCGCTTCGTGGGCCGCGCTGGACACGAGGGCTATAGGGGTGAGTCGTTTGTCCGAAAGTGGCTCCACTGCGGTAAAGCCCTACGTACGTATCCGTGGCACACAGGATCGCATGCCCTTGACCTGTCGATGGCGAGAAGCTGGAGCGCCCCTCCTTGATCGTCAATGAGAACAAGCTGGACCCTGCCCTCTTTGTAGGCACCCACACGGCGCATTTATAACCAGGAATGAGGGATGAGTGGAATCTTGCGTTGCGGCATAGTTTTCTGCCTGTGCGTGCCGCGCGGGCATGGGAGACTCCGTCGGGCAATGCTCAAGGTTGCTCTGCTTCTCGTGCCCCCCTCCTGTTGTGTCTATTGTTTGGAGCGCAGGTGATTCCTATGCTCTGCCAGCCGTTGACAGACGCTAGGGCAGCAGCGGGAGAGGAGAGCGTGAGCGGTGGCCCGTATGCCTCCGGGGGGAAGGGGAAGGGGAAGGGAAAGGGTAAGGGTAAGCGAAAGCGGAACGAGAGAAGACAAGCGGTGGCGGAGGGAGAGGGGGCGGCTACGGAGGGTCCTGTTCGGGTGTGGGAAGCCAGGCAAGCTATTTGCCGGACAGTGGAGGGCCTCGTCCCACGACGACACATGAAACGGCATCTTTGACTAATTGTTGCGTAAAACGACAAGTGCCAATGCCGGCCGACACGTGCATGCGCGTTTGCCGAGTTTGTGTGAGGGACAGCTGTAACGTTGTTGTCCGAGACGTGCTCGAAGATGACTGACTTGTGCGCGTTGTGTTGTGCAGTGGCTCACCCCCATCAAACGTACGCCTGTCTCCCCTACCGCACGATGCTTTGGTCGCGTTGCCGTACCCACCAGGGTCCTAGTACCGTTCGGCCTCATCCCGGAAAAGGCTGCCAAAGGGTGCTGGGGAGAGGCCCTGCGGCTAGTCCTAGCTCCGTCTCAAGTGGCATCGACGGCACCCACGGCTGCCTGTGAACAGCGAGACAAAGTCAGTGATCCCGATTCAGAAGAAGAGGAAGAAGCGGAGGAGGAGGAAGAGGAGGAGGAGGAGGAGAGTATTGTTGCTGAATTGCCGGAAGACAAGAAGGGAGTTGACCCTCTCGTGGAAGTTCGTAATTCGACTCTTCCCGGCGGACTGTGGAACGAGGTGAACAGGAGTGGTGCTTGGATGATACGTGATATTTCCATGCTCATCACCAACGGAGCGCATGTTCTGGGGGTGGTGTCTCCTTTTGTTTGTCGTTGCAGTTATTACAGCAGGGGGCGGGTGGCGGTCGGGGGGGGCACCAGTGCTGTTCCGTCGTTTCCCTCCGGCCGAGAGCATGTGGTTTTGGGAAGGCGGGCTGCGATCGGACAGACGGGACGAACCCCTCTTTCCTGACTGACCACCGACAACGTGAATGATATTTCAAGTGTTGATACGGGATGCCCGCTCTTCTGTTGGCAGCGGAAAGCGAGTGGGCAGCCCTTGACACCCCTCGTAATACCACTCGGTCCTTCCACCTCGCTCCGCTCTGCTCTCTTTCTCCCTCTGTCTCTATCACTCTCTCTACCTCTGTGCTCTCTCTGTCTGCGTCGCTGCGTCTCTGCTTCTCTGCGTGCTTCATGGAACCGACGGGAACCGGTGGGATTCATCACTGTCAAAGGAATTGGATGGAGGAGATCCCGAGGCTGATGACAACCGCGCCCTCATCAGCACCGCTGTTCGCACCTGCAAGACAGCCGGGAGGTGAATGGGAGCTCGGCATACAGCAGTGCTTCTTGTAGCGTATTCTGTACTTGACCGGTGCGCGGCTCGCCTCATGTCTGGCCTGACTGGGTCGTCCGCGGCATCAACCGGAGACCAGTCGTAGCAGAGCAACCACTTGCCCAGACTAGCAACGTCTCGAGCGCCTTTTAAGTCGCCGACAAAAAATTTAGGAGACGTAACGCACTGCTGAGGATTCATGGCACGCACGATACGCTAAACAAAGGGNTCGGTGTTTGTCATCGGGATTGCGTTTTCGTCAATTGGCAACGACGTTGTAAAACAAGCCCATTCACTGCGTGAACTCGGCAACCAGGATACCGTTTTTTTTTGTCTCTGTTTCTTTTTTGGTGGTTACCATAATGGTGGTCGAGTAGATCATGTTGTGCGGGGTAGAGAACCCTCACTCCGCGCAAGGGGAATGATCGCACCATGTCGTGTTGAAATGGTCAAGCACCCTCGAGGCAGTTACACAGATCTTACAACTGTCTCTGGAAGTGAAAGCACCAGAAAATAAATTAATTCATACGCAGCTGTCATCCGTACGCAAGGAAGTAAGCACAAGATGCCGAACACCCTTAGCAGGATGCAGCGCACCCTTCATGCGACTCGCCGAATATCTCACGGCGCTTCGCGCTTGGTGATGTGAGAGCCTGGTCCGGTGAGAACCCGGCGTGCTCCGTCCCGGCTTTGTAGGGATGCGAGGTCAATGGTCTAACGACTACGGCATGCACGACTATGAGTACACCCCCCCCATGCTCTCGATTTCAGCAGTTCCCGCCATGCAACACCTCGTATCGTCACATTCTCTCGCTGCCGTTGGCCTGATTGTCTGACCTACGCGCATCATCGTTTACCTCCCTACCCGCCGTCGCCGTGACAATACGTCACGCAGTGTGGATCTAGCCCACTGCTCAACCTGGCTTAAGTTCTCCGAGCTGCACGAAGAAGAACGCACGACGGTGGTTTTCCTTTGCGGCGGAGGCGTTCGGGTGGCCGAGGTGTGTGTATCTTGTCTTGGCGTCGCTTTTTTGGTTGATTCCGCGCCAATGGGGCCTTGAGAAAGGTTGGAACCGGACTGGCAGAGCTTTGAGGGGCGTGGCGAGAGCTATGTACGATTGTAAAGTACAAATCAATGCGAATTGTCTACCATTCACGACTTTGCGCAACCGTGCAAGTGGGCTGCGCCCGAATCCGCTTTGGCATGTTGTGACACCTGCCTCTCATTGTTGCACGCAATTCGCTTCACATGTGCCTATCGTAGCCTGAGGCTGCGGCGTTTGCGACGCGCGATTTCGAAACGCAAGAGGTCGGGGCTCGTTGGCTGTGGTCAGGTAGACCAGCGTGCACACTCGTAAGGGGCGTCTTTCGGGCGACATCGAGATACTGCCCACACGCTGTTGCGCCAAAATAATGCTGTACGCGGTGATCTTTTTCGTTTTGTGCGCTTCGTGCGGTAGGGGACACCGGGTGATCTTCACACGGCTACCATCTCAGATCTCATCAGCCGGAAATCGAGCGACGTCGTGCCCTTTACCTCGGGGACTGTTGAGGTTACCCGTGGCGATGGCGGGCACAAGGGGCCGAAAGGCTTGGAAGCAACTTTTGAGGTGAGTGATATTTGGTGTTTGTTCACGCGCTCCTCATGTCCTCAAGTAGTGCAAGGGGGCACCCGGCTGTTCGGCTCCGGAGCTATCGTGGATGAACGCGGTGTTGCATGGCGTGGAGATCGACGGCACACAGTGATTGGCCACGACAATCGCTGCTTCCCGGTGGGACTTGTCAATACCACCGGTGAGGCTTGTTAATACCAGGTAGTACTGAAGGAGGAGAGCTGGTTTGCAAACGACAAATCGGTTCAGAACGGTATTTTACGTTGTAGCGTGAGAAAAGAGCAACACTCAAACAGCAGCGGCAGCAGCAGCAGCAGCAACAGCACAGACATCGGCAGCAAGAGCAGCGCGGAAGTGTGCGTGCTTCGAGCCCCCGACCCGCAAGGGCTTTTCGCATTGGCTGCCTTGGATTAGTGTGCATGGGTTTGCCCGGCGTGGCTCACATCTTTTCTCGCACCCAACTCTCATCCTGCCGGCTCCCTCCTTTGTGTTCGCGTTTTGCCCGGTCCGTTTGTCTGCACCGTCTTCGGTCAGGCCAAGCTTGGGGCAATTTTCTTGTGGGGGTTGGTGTCGCGAGATTGGGCCGGGGTGCTGTTGGACTGCTTCAGGTGATGCATCCGGTGTCTGTGAGTGGTCCGTTGGTTTCTTGTGGCCATCTCCCGCCCGATCGTACAGCGGCCTGCCTGCCCTTTTCCCGTCGCCATGCTCGGCGATTCGGCCACACCACGTACAGTAACAATGTGGTGTGCCCCCACGCTATACACGCATCGACTTGGCGAATAGAGCGGAAAGTGCATTCCAAATAGAAGTTGACCTGGCCCTACGCGCCTCAAGCTCACGTTGGTGGCGCCCCAAACTTGCCCCTACACGGAATCCGCGTCATCTTCCAACACCAACAGAACAAAAGGGTGGCAGGTATACCTCCCACGAAGAGATACCAGGATTTCATTCATTCATGCGGTGCGCGCACTCCTTTCTCGTACGACCAGGTGTGAAGCGGCTGCGTTGGACCGGCAGGATACAGACGGGGCGCCGAAGACGGCATCCGTGGGTTGCGGTCCTACTGCTGCTGCTGGCGCTGTTGCTGCTTCTTCTGGCAGGGGAGGTTGTGGGGGCGGTGGGGTGCAGGAGGAACCCCAAGCGGCTGCTGCCGCAAGAAAGAAGGGAGGCTCACCACCGATCATGATGGAAACACCAGCCGAGGTGTGTGATGGAAAAGCTTTCTAGGTTTCGTGCAATGCACGCACAGAGTGTATTTTTCGTCTTTCCGTTGTTGCCCGGGGAGCCCTTCTTGACGCACGGTTTGTGAGCCCTGTACGTTCTTATTCGTCCCGTATGATGCAGCAGATAAATATGTTGTTCCCGGCGTGTTCGACACGCAACCATACATGTTGCCGGAACTTTTCAGCAGACGGAGCGTTTCAACGCATGCAGAGCATCCCTCTCGATATCTTAGCTTATTTTTGGCATCGCACAGCATATTACCATCTCATACCGTTCTTTTTGTGTGTCTCGGGGGAACCCCCTGGTTCTTCATGTTTGCTCAAGGACCGTGAAGCCGCGAACAGCTCATCGCTGTAGAATCACCGTTGCTCGGGTTGAAACGTCAGCCACACTGGCGTCAATCTGACGCGGAGCGAGCTCATCCAGCCGATCGTTTTTGTTCTGTGGCGAACGACTCGAACGAACTCACAGGTGCGAGCGGCGTTCGGGCTGTTCGACTCGGAGGGGAAAGGCTACGTAGCGGCGGACCTTTTGCAGGCGCGTCTCTTGGACGCTAGCTCCAGGTACCTGCAGCGGTAGTTTGCTATGTCTTTGACGGAACGCAGATAGAGTTTGTTCACAACGACAACGACGCCGAAAATAGCAACAAGAGCCGCGCCTGTTGGTGCCCGATGTGGCGCCCTGGCGCTGGCCTTCCGACATTAGCCCTTTAAATGAGCACCCTTGATGATCGTGGGCGTTTGGACCGAATAGCAGTCTATACGAGAGAAATACACTCGGACTGGATTGAGTCAATCGTGCGACTATGGTTACCGCGCGCTGTGAGTCACAGCTCGCGTTGAGTGCGCACTGAGTTTTGCCACGCAGAGGTTAGCCATCGTATCGTTTCTCTCTGTGCCGGGTATCGCCAATGCAGACATGCTCCCGGCGTTGCTGTCGCTCACAAAATCCATTTGGGAGTTTCAGCCCTTGTCATTGACTTGGCCTGGCCTACAAGCACGAACCAACGCCCGTCTCGCCCTCTTCTGCACACACTGCCACCGGACGTTGCCCCCCAGGATATCGGCCCGGTACCTCAAGCAGTTGCTGAGTCGAGTCTGCAGAGTGGCTGGAGACGGCAAGCGTTTATTTTTCGAGTACAAGCTGCGTCTAAAGAATCTGACAACTGAGGGCAGCAGGCTCAGGGCGGAAGAGAAGGGAGGGAAGGAGGAGGAGGAGAACGCGGGGGAAAGCGAAGACGCGGAAACGAAGCAGGGCGAAGCGACGGGGCAAGGCGTTACGTCGGCACCGCCTTTCGCTTAAACGAGCGTCGGGGCGCCTCACGGTGTTCGAGCCCCCCCCCCCTCGTTTACGTTTTGCGTAATTTGGCGCTGAATTTCATGAGACAGCGCTATGTTGCCTAAAATATACATAGGAAACTCGAAGAGCAAGTGGCGGCCGCATCGGCGGCGGTCCCGTTTTTCCCAGCGCGAAGTCTTGCAAGCCAAGCAGGTGCCGTTTTCCCTTTCGAGGAGACACGCCAGGGTGGCTCGCGCCTCCTTGCTCGCGGAAAGGACTGAGAGTTCCCGGTGCACACTTGGTGTGAGAGAGCTGTTTTACAGCAGTCCTTTATAAGGACTTGCATCGTCGGCATGACTGTCTCGCCCCCATCTTGGGAGTTTTGAAAACGATGCACTACGGCCAACTAGGATAAAACCATTGCACCTACCTGTACGACCACAACCTCGCGTACCCACGTACTACACATCGCCTCAAGCTGCGAACAATGAATTTACACGCAATATATGCATACATACAACTATTGTAAAACGAGCTTGAATTTCTTGATGTGCTCCAAAAATTTACAAGGGACGATTGCCGCCCCCGCCCCCCTAGACTTAAACCAAGACTATCGCTGGCATAAAACACGCACGGAATAAAATACGACTGAATCGAAGTGGGCACGCACACTATACACGACGACCTCACGGACCTGCACGCTCCATCGGGGCTGCTAGTTCGAAACAATACGTTGCCTCTTTCTCCCCAAATGCATTGGCGGCCACCATGTTCGCACGTTCAATATCAACACTAAAATCAAGAAATAAATATTTTCGCTGCCTTGAATCGCGCGAATAGAGCGACCACTGCTGTAGCGATGTTGAGCAGCATGTTGGCCGCAGCACCCCAGTAGTCGCCCTTGAGGGCCAGGTCGCCAGCATCCGCTGAGAGGTCGGAGAAACCTTCATTCCATGTGTTGGCAGCCATTCGTGTTCCACCGTTCCAAACGATCCCGTTCCGCATTACACCCGGGTCGTGCCCCAACGTGCGCGCGACGGGAAGGTAACGGCGATTTAGTCTAACAGTATGCCTTGGGTCCGATGATATATCAGCGGCTTCGTGGCAAGACGTTGGTTGTCAACCAAACGGATAAATTAACGAGGTAGAACGTCGGTACATAAGTGCACCAGTGACGCTGTTGGAAACAACACAAGACAGGGAGGAATGACAGCGAGGCAAGTGAAACAAAAGTGAGACAGGGCGAGGTTTGGAGAAGAAGAACGCCGTGCCATGGCGACTTAATTTGAAAACGAACGTTTTGCCGTAGTGAAAGTCCCGCGCACACAGCAGCTGGGGCAAGGGATAACTTCTAACCGGACAATAAACGAGACAAAAAAAGTGATACATTGGAGGAACAGCAACAGGGGTGAGAATCGCCGCCACAAGATTCCGGGGTGGGACGGACGATGACGTCTTGTTCAAAGAGATCAAAGGTTGGGATAAGAAGACAAACGAACCAAACGGGGCTGACAGAATGTGTAGCGGCACGGGGAAGCAGGGTGATATCGTAGCGGGGAAGACCTTCCCCCAAAAACGATCAACGGAATTAAATCGCGTCCCAGATTTCGAAGCTGCACTGCCCGACAGACCTCGTCATACGATAACACGTGCTTGTCCTCCGTTATTCTCCCACGTGTGTTACTCTTCGCGCCGCTAGTTCGGACCAATCGGTTCACACAACAAGCTGCCTGCCTTACGAGAGATGCCACCGTATGATGAAACCCGCCCCTCTTTTTCGACCACCAACCAACCTGTTAAACCTTGCTCACTATTCAGGTGCCGACCGTTATATAAACATGAGGGATGAACAAACACATTTTGTTCAAATCTTGAAGCAAAGCTAAGGTCAAGGCGACCTTTCTCTCCGTCTCCTACTTCAACTTGTTGTCTGCTACCAGGCGTTGTGTGGATTGGGAAATTTAGAGAGAGGGAAGGTGCAACTCTCCTTCACTCTGCCACTCTCTCCATCTCACCCGAAATTGTCCCGAAGCCTTGGGCGACCAGAGCAACGAAGAAAGCGCTCTCTAACGTCGCCTCTCGCTCCTCCGGCTCCAGGCTCGCGGCGTACCGACCGGCAGTGATCACCCCGGCGAATGACAAAGCGTTGCACCGCCAGTCTCCCCAGCTGCTCGATACATCACAAACACCGTAGTTGGGCGGGTGGGAAGGCTGTTATTCTTACCGTGCTTTTCCCTCCGTTAGGGTTGGGAAGGCTTGTCACGAGTGGGCGCTCTCTCCCAGCCTCTTGCTGGCAACCAGTTCTCATCCACGGAACCCCTTCGACGTTCCATGATTTCGACATTGTTCTACTGCCGAATAGTTGTCGACGATGTAGAGTTTGGGATGAAATGATGCCTCCTGCTGCCGCACGAGATCCAACCAAACTTCCACGTATTGACATTTATTCCTTATCGTTGCCTAAATTTTATCCCCATACTTCTCCGTCTGTATCCACGGACAGAGGAACCTCGAAGGTGTACATAGCAACCGTCGGTGCTTACCCAAAAGCCGAAAACCTTACACATGGGTGTGTGTTGTGTGTTATTTAACGTGTTGCTGTTCACGTCAATGACCTGCATAAGCTCGCTGGGACAAGTCTACGCGATGGTCAACAATGTCGCCGCTTCTTGATCACATCAGTCGCTTATCTGACAAAAAGAGCATCCTTTCGTGGTCGCGAAACATGGGACCCCAAAGGAGAGCACGAAATACCTGCTGTGTGTTCGGTTTGGTTTTCCGAGAGGCAGTTGCGGTGAATACTGCCGGGCGTCAAGGCGTAGCCTAGAACGCCCACACCACAACTGCAGCAGTGGCGGTGAAAACGAAACACAGTGCAGATAGTGTACCGTCTCATCGTCCGTCTATTTTCGACGATGGGTTGGGATCCTTCAACGCATAGTTGGGCACGCGATTGCAATTGTAGCACGCCAACCCCAGAGAGCCACACACTCTTCTCTTCTCTCTCGCGTGCATTGACAACTTTCCAGACAACGCCCGAGTTTTCTTGTGGTGGGGTTGAGATGCAAAAAGAAGGGCGACCCGTGCTAAGCCATGGAAGTGAGGTTCGCGCTGAAGACCGAATCGACCTGGCGTGTGTGTCTGCGAGTGGATAGTCTCACTCACACAATTCGCCCTTCGGCCCCTCCGTTTAAGGTCGAGAACCAGTTGCCGATTATTCCACCTTGAGAAAAACGAAGGTAGCGGCACAGGAGAGAGGCAGACACAGACAGGAAAGCAGACCAGTTGGCAATCGACATCGCTTTTCCCGTCAGACACAAATCCACTGGAGGGTGATGTGAGAACTCGCGCCCCATCTTCCTTGATCTTAGGCAGGGATGTCCGGCATAACCCCCGTGGTTTCGCCTCCTCAACAACTCGGGGGTCCCGATGGAACCTTTGCGCCGTCTCGTTTAGAGGAAAGAAAACTGGTTGAGACTCAACAGCTGTTCGACGATCTATTCTAAGATCGTTCGATTTCCTTTTTCATATGCTGATAGAGTAAAGGAGATCCTAAAAAACACAAAATCTTGAGCAACACGGAGCACACAAATTGGTATGCAGTTGCCACATTTGTCAGTCGGAGCACACGCTGCATGTGCCTAAAGCTGTACGGTAGCCTTCCGTACCACATCAAGGACTACGTGACTATCGGCGAAACTACTGGCGATTCGGAGTCCAAAGAAGAAAGCCTTTATCTCCTTAGAGTATGCAAGCATGAGCCGCAGAATTAAGTCCACAGGCCTCGGAATGCGGCTCTTCAGTTGAGAAGATAGAGCCATCGGGTGCACGTGAAAATGGCGGGTGGCGGTGATACAAGGATCCCTACCGCGGCAAAGAACAAAGAAACTGTGTTTTTGTCCATCTTGATATAAAAACAAGATGATAAAAAACAAAATCGTGCAACAGACGACCTTTCGTGGCACCCGCGCCTGTTTTTATCTTCGCGCGCGCTCACCCATGACGGCCATGATAATCCCCCAGCCGAGCTTGTGTGGGTGTTGGCCTGCCATCCAGCTGCCCCACGCCATGGCCGCCACCGCCGCCACCAGCGCCGTCTTCTCCGCCCCCTTGCACATCCACAGCGGGCCTCTCTTTGCCCAGTCGACCGCTTTGCGGGAAACCCTCCTTTCTCGTCATTTCGGAAGGGATCGGTTTTAAGACAAAGGCAGACACACACACGCGCACAACACAAAAAAACACTCGATCAGTCTTCGCCTCCGTCTCAGGAGACGCACGTTTGTCAGTGTATAAATCGTTTCGTAAAAGCCCAAAACAGCTGCGGCCTAGCGGATATTTCTACGCTACTTCAAAATGGAGGCAGGTTAAGAGCACGTTAACAAGACGGGCGACGTCATGCGGTTGAACAAAATCGGTTGTTGTTGTTAACCGCCGCTGACTTCCTGTATGATACATGGGATTCTGCTTCGAGTCGTTTCCACTCTCTCTCAGTTACCGCCCCCCCTCTCGAGTGCTGTTCGACGAAGTCACCGATCTGGGCAAAATTCCGATACACGGGAAGGCGTGGTCGTACGGGGTTCTTTCTGATGGTACAGCCAACGACGCACGTACCATACGCCTTGTGCACGCAGCAACACCGCTGCCGTCAGTTAGCGCGAGCGATACCGGATAACGGATGGGACCATTGCTCATTACCTCGGACGAACCAACCGACGACAGTCGACAAACTTTCAACACTTTCTTGAAAGAGGACGGCTGAGCTCAATACCTCGCGCTCCTTGTACGCAAAAAATGATGCTCGTTCGCGCTTGCGCTCTCCCAACGACGACGACGACGACGACGACGACGACAACGACAAAAATTAGCTCACCATCGCCTACCCCACCGGTGGGCCTGCAAATAAACTCCCCAGCCCAGAAGAATGGAAACCAACAGGTACCCCACTCCAGCCTCCAAGGATGCAACGACAGCAAGATGGGCTCCGTGTTCCACCACGAACGCCAAGCTGCCGGGGCACCAGCAAAATGAGCGTGAACAAGCGAACCACAGTTGCATTGTGGGCAAGGTGCACTCTACCATAGAAAAGAACGTTCACGCTGCACGCAGCACCACTCGTTGAACAATAGCGGAGCCATACTAGATCGGTAGGTGGAATATTTTTTTTTGGCTGAAAAAAGTACCTGCAGTAGGCTTGTGCGTCTGTTATCATTGGCCCGTTTACTACACAGCAGTGTTACAATATAATGATTGAGGTGTGGGGGGCGCCAATCAATGTGATGGACTCCGAAAAAAAANGGCTTGTTTTACAACGTCGTTGCCAAGCGACGAAAACCCAACCCCGATGGCAAACACCAGGGGAGGAGGGAGGTTTACTCCGGGGGGGAGGGAGGGGTGTGGTATATTAAAAAATAGGGCTATATATGGACCCTGGCTACTGTCGGAGACAGAGGCCGGTGCCTTGGCAGTATTATCCCACTGCCAGGGGAAGGCTATTTCCTCTCGTGATATGAAAACGAGGAGAAGAGGGTAGAAAGAGAGAGAGAGAGTGGCCAGAGAGAGCAGAGGGAGAGGAGAGTCGAAGACTCTCCGCTTCTCCTTTCGGCAAGTGGCCATGGACTTCGGAAGAGACAAATCTCCGACGGTGCGTTTCTTGTCACCCTCCCAGTGACAAGATACCCCGATGGAGCTATATCTTCATACACTTTGTATGTGCACTCATGGTTGGTTATACTCCCGACAGGTGTCCTCCAAATATCAGCTAAACAAAAAAAAATGTCTGCTGTTGTGCTTCGCTTGTTGGTTCGAGCTTTGATCGAGAAATCTCAAAAGCGTTCAAGCGTGTGATGGGTAACCAGGCTAGCACGGGAAGCACTGGTCGCACACTAGGCCTTCGCGCACAAGAGTGTAGAGAGGCGTACAGCAGCAGTACATGTCGCACCAATGGTGGTGCGTAGCAGCGTCTGTGTGTTGTTGGTGTCATGTGCCCCTCTCCGCGGAACGAGACAGAGAGGCCGCTGCTGCTGTTGCTGCTGCTGCAACCAAATAAATGTTGATCTCTCCTCTCGCTTCCTCCGCCGATAGCTAACAGCAGCAGTGTATGGCACACCCTTCTCCCGCCGTCTCGCCCTCGCTGTGGTCTGTGTCTCCCCCTCCCTGTTTGTCCATGTCTGGCTCTGTGTGTGTGGTGTGTGGTGTGCGAGGCTATCTGTCTTGGTTCAAAATCAAACGACGCCTCCTCTCGGTGTTGCAAGGGGCCAGCAACTCCCCTGCTTCAAGTTGGGTACCGACGCTGCACTATCTCGACGCACCGAGCACGGATTGAAAAGGTAGCAGTTGGGCCAGCTCGGGCAAAATATTACTTGTTGTGAACACGTCTTAGATTGCAATTTGGTGCCGAGATTGTGAAATGGGCTCGAGTCTGCTGGGTTATTTAGGACGCGCAGACACCAGACAGACAGACAGACATCAGACAGCCATTGCGTCTTTTTCACGCCCCTGGGCATGAAAATTATTCTTTTTCTCGTGCGCACATACATCCACAGACGATGCCTTTAAACAGCTTTTTTTTTGCAAAACAAAAAGCGCACCCCTATACGGGCCACTCTTTTCGCAAAAAAAAAACTATTACAAAAAACTTTTTCCAAGTCGACATGCAACCACGGTAGATTTCGAACGCACGTGACGTCTGTCTGTTGATTCATAACACGTTTAGTTAGCCTCTCCTTCTGGATGAAGCGTACAACATGGACCACAGCCAGAGGTTTCGAATGCGATGGTTTCATGCGAGGAACATCTTGCCAACACCCCCGCTCAAGAGCATGCACGGCATCCTGGTCAGCTTCTTATGCCCAAGAAAGAAGAGAGCTGGGTAAAGCAGGAAAAGAACGAGGAGAGGTCTTCCAGGTGTACAAAAAGGGATCCCGGTGTGCACCTTGGACTCGGGAGATGAAACTGGTACCTAGGGGCATCCCGTGTGAATATACACCAATACCTTGTCCACACCGCCAAGAAGCCACTGATGACTATTGAGTTCGCCGCTCGGACCTCGCTATTCTTGCTATCCTCCGGCGCCATCCCCCCTCCATTGGCGAGCCCTGCGAAAAAGGACCTACAGGCGCACAAGATCGAGCACGAAATTGTATTGATGTGGTTCAAGTGAACGGATTGTACGCCCTCTCCGCCGCATACAACCACGACTGCATCCCATCGACACCACCTATTTCGTCTTTCAAGCAGTGCGTGTCTACTATCTGTGTCTCTCGGCGGAAATGGGGCGGTCATGCGCACTACTCCGTACGCACGATGCACTCGCACGGCGGTACTGCTGTCTACATGAAGTTTGATCAGACCCACCCGGAGATATTTAGAAGCGTGGCGGATACGTCCACTCCATTCCACTCCCAAACCGGCACGAGTGCGTCTGTAAGAAGGAAGGCAGTGGCGGCGGCGGCAGCTTGTGACATCCCGATCGTAGCCATGCTCTCTCCCTCTTTGCGTGCTTGAGTGCAGCTGCTAGGTTGGTGTGTTCAGCTGTGTTGCCGAAAAACGCGGTGCGATTTTTCACGAACCAGAAAGAGAACCACATGGCGAGCGCACTGCTGTCCCGACATAAAAAAAAACAGAGTCGTTACGCTCCATACAGCAGCTGCTTTGTACAACAACAGTGCTGCTGTGTATGCAGATGACATGTAGATAAGACAGCAGTTGACGAGGGTCAGCATTTAATGCAGACATACCGTGTGCGTCTCCGCTTTCAATGGCGAAAGCGCACGGCACAACGGATGTGTACGACGAATGTTCCTGGTTCGTCTCGTACATAAGTACGATGAAAAGAACTGATGCTACTGATATGTAGAGAGACGACCTTAGGCTACCTACCAAGTTCGCCATCGTGATGCAGGTCGCCCGAATGACGCCGGCGGCGACGGACAGCATCGGCAATCGTAACGGGGGAAAGACAACCAGCGCTGGCAGAAAATTCAAACGGCGCTTGGTGACCCATCCCAGCCCGGGGAACGCAACTAACATGAACAAAGCAACGACGCCAGTGGCGATGGCGTGGGGATCAGGCCAGGAAACCCTCGTCGCATCAAACAAGCTGGGGGACAACTACGAGCGGCCTAGGATGACGAGAAATATGGTAGGCCATTCCTTGTCGCCGGAGCGCCAACGGCCCCCCTCGTCTACCAAGGCGGTCCATCATCGTCTCGATCCTATCCAAGCGGTTGTGGTCGCGGAAGAGACGTTCATCCCGGACAGCGTGCTCTACGAGCCCTACAGTAGGCGCCCCCTAAAGGCAATAGACCTGAGTATTTGGCAGGACCAGCTGAGCACGTTGATGGTCGAGGATCTTCTGCGTCGAAATTCCTCTTTCTCCAAGCTGTCACTACGCGGAGCAAGACGAGGGTCTGATATTCTGGCATTGATTGCTCGGCACTTCGGGCGCACCGTCACAGACCTCGATGTATCCGACTCTAAGGTGGTTGACGTCGAATGGCTGAAGACGTTGGGAGAACCAACAGAGTGCCCGGCCATCGCCAGCCTTACTGCCGCGCGTTGTAGCGGTATCACCAACAAGGGGGTCGAGATCTTGGCTCGAAAGAAGGGCCCGTCCCTGCTGGCGCTGCGTGTTCCGGGGTGTGAAGCTGTGTCTGACGATGGGGTAGAGTTTGTAGCAAAGCACTGTAGTAACCTGTGCTCGATTGATCTCAGCGGGTGTCCGAGGGTACGAGACAGGTCCGTGTTCGCAATCAGCGCCCTGACTGGCCTGCAAGACATCGCTTTGGACGGCTGCGCGGAAGTGTCTGACGATGCCTTCCGCCAGCTCTTCACCAGCGTCACGCAGCTGAAATCTCTGTCCATCAGGGGCTGTGCCAGCGTCTCGGAGGAAGGCTTGAAGTTCATGCACGAAATGCCGGTGCCGTGGGGAACCCGGAAGCACCGCAACTGCGCACTTCTTCACACGCTTCGCCTTGGACACAACAATAACATTTCAGACGAGTTCATGATTATAGTGGCGGTCGTGTGTCCGCATCTTCGGGTGCTGGGAGTGACCTCGTGTCCTCTGGTCGGAGGCGACCAGGCGATGGGAAAGATTGGCGGCCTGCTGGAGCTGGAAGAGGTGACTCTAGAGGTGCTGCCGCGGGTTAGTGACCAGGGGATCAGAGAGTTCTTCTGCGACCAGCCAAGAAGAGCGCTGAGGAAATTGAGCCTGGTCGGGTGTACTAAGGTGACAGACGTCTCCCTCAAGTGCATAGCAAAGAGCGCGCGTGCTCTTCATGAGCTACGCCTCGACCACAACGTGAGCGTCACCGACCGTGGGTTGGGGTACCTGGCCAAGGGCCTCGCCGCCAACCTGCGGCTGCTTCAGGCGACGCACCTCGGGATGATCAACGATAGCGGGGTCCGGTTGCTCTCACGAAAATGTCTGCAGCTTACAAACATCGATATCAGCTACTGCCTACGCATCTCGCCGGCCTGTTTTCTGGGTCTCCGCAAGCTTCGTATGCTGGAATTCCTAGGCTTATCAAGCTGCCACGGGTTGTTCAACAGCAGTGATGAGAGGAGCGTTAGCGGTGGTGTGTCCGGAGAGGTGCCACGCCGTGAGATGTACCCGACCGCCTCGGCACTTGACGCTGCAGAATTTTACAAGCTCCGCCGCCTGGAGTTAGCCGACCAACCAGATCTGACAGACGCAGCCTTGCTTGCCGTGGCGAAGCGAAACTGTCGGACGCTCGCGTTTCTCAACGTATCGCGGTGCTCCAAGTTAACACCCGACGGGGTCACCGAAGCGGTGAAAGTCCTCACGTCCCTGAAGCGGCTGGACGTCACTGGCTGCGACCTGATCAAGACGGATGACGCCGACAGCTTCGTCGGGTGCGTCGCGCCGGCGCTGCTCCTTAGCCGCGCGCATCTTGACGCCGACGGCTTTGACGGCTTGCACTGTTGTGCTAGTGCCGAGGACGCGCGCTTGCGACGGGAGGCGGGGAACGTTGTACGGAGGGAAGAGCTCGGGGCGAGGGCTATTCAGAGGGCGATTCGAGGGTACAGAGAGAGGGAGAAGGAGGAAAACGAGGCTTCTTGGAAACATAGTCAACTGCACGCTGCGGCGTTGACTATTCAGGTAATAGCCGGTTGTCGTGGGGTCGTAAATTATTCGACCATGACGCCTGGGTGCAATACTTCGTAGGCGGGCGAAGAGGGAGCGCTGGGTGAATGTTTGTACAGAGATGTGAATTGCTTTGTCGAACCATCGGACTCGAGGGCGGTTGACTAAAGTGCATTCCCCTGCAGAGCTATGTTTGCTTGGTCGCCAGATCTTGCGTGTCCTCAGCACCACAGTGTGCAGAAGAGGTTATAGGTTATAGTCTCAGATCCACGTAACACACGAATACCCTGCGCCCTTCAAAAACATACCAGTTTTCGCTCACACACACAGCCAGTGCGCAATTTGGCCTCCCTTCCACTGCCGCTGACACTGCCTGACCAAACCTACCGCCTTCCACAAAATCGCAACACGATGAAAAACGAATCAGTTGTGGGTCCTGCGCATTATGGCGCGGAAGATCTTGGCCGCTCGCGCCATGCGGCGCGCGCGCTTGATGATCTCCATGTTCAAGTGGCGTCGGCGTACCAGGGAAGCTCGGTCCTGGAACCTCGCCGCCCACCACGGCGACAGGAAACTCAAGGCCCGAACGGTACGAGACTGGCGGGCCTCCTGCGTCGAAGACATGGCCGACGCCAGCGACCTCGCCGAGCGGGGCGAGGTTTTCTTCGAGCACATGGTGCTGAGCACCCACCTGAGGGCCTGGATCCGATTCGTGGCGCCTCTGCGGGCACGGCGGGTGGCGGCCGAGGGAAGGGCCGACGCGTGCTGGCGAGCGAGGACGAGGGAGTCGCTGTTCCGGCGTTGGCGAGGAAACGTCCGGCGAATCAAGTCGCGGCAGGCGAGGTGGGTGGGCGAGGTGCTCCTGACGGTGCTGCCCGTGGAGATGCGGAATTCCTCGCGGCAGAGGCCGGGGGTGGAGAGTGCGGTGATGTTCCACCGCCGCCGCACGCTACGGAAGGCGTGGTGGGCGTTCTTGAGCTTGAACGAGGAGCTGGCAAACCTGCAGCAACGATTCAGAGTAAGTTCTTCCGTCCTGCAGTCGCTGTGGCCGTTAGCTAATCCATACCCAATGAAATGGAGGAAACCATCGCCTGCACCTGTGCTCAACTCGAGTGTAAATACCTCATTTTTATTGACCCTACTGTCTTGATTGATTGGTCAGACGTTCGACAAGGCTAACCGGCCGCGCGTTCTCCGCCGCAACTTCGCGCGGCTGCGCGAGGGCGCGCACCTCCAAAAGTGGAAACGAGAGTCAAAAGCCAAGGCGGACAAGGTGGCAGCTTTGTCGCGTCAGCGCCGGGGTTTTCGAGGCTTGCACCAGAGCGCGGCTTTGGCGGCCTCCTCCCGCGTCCTTCGGGCCTGTGCCGATACATTTGCAACTCGAACGCTGGTTACGCAGGGCTGGAAGAGTCTTCGGGATCACCCTGCCGAGAAGAAGGTGATGATCGGGTAGATACCGGCTCGATGCCAAACTTTTTAACGGCTTTGTTTCGCTTGTTCCGCAGGCGTTGCTTCTTGCGGGATTGGTAGTTTTGCCATATTTTTTCACGAGCACAAACGTACGCAGAACCCCTTTGCATTGCAATGTCAACCGTTGTTGTTGTTGTTGCTGTCTTCACACTTAGAATTGTTCCGATATCTGCCCAATACCTTCCATCATGCGCACTCGTCCAACTGACGCGGACGTCTTCCGTGGTCATTGGCGATTAAAGCGTATATGGAAACATTGAGAAAAACTAATGGACCCAGAAAATCCAACATGCGCGAACGATACAGCACAACGCAGAAGGAAGCCATCGAAACCAGACTCTCCACGCCACATGTCGCACAAAGAAATAACGCAGACAACACCCATCGCTCCTGCGCCACTCCTGCGCGACACGCGAGGCCGAGCAAACAGAAAAACACTACAGAATAAAAGATCGCTACATCCATGGCAAAGCCCTATTCCTCTACGCCTACTTATTGGCCGGTGTGTTGATTGATCTTACCAAACAATATTCTGGTTGGTCCGTGCTTGATGGGAAAGGGACCTCGCCGGAACCCTCTCCCTCGTGGTTCTGGCAGGAGGGGTAAAAAAGAAGCTCGTGGTAACAGCTGCGATAAACATTGGAACCAAAGGGACGCAAATACGAATGGTGCAAACAAACGTTTTTACAAGGATTCTGTGACATGGGCAGCAAGCAGTCCATTCAGAAAGTCGTTCAATAGTACACTCTCAACAAACGATCACCTAATCTTTGAAAGTGTGCGAACTGGAACCGTCTGGCAGATATTGCGAGGAATGATTGAGCTTTGGCAGCAACGAGCGACGAGCCACCGGGATGATGTTCTGAAGTGGAAGGGGGTGCGACGTCTCGAGGACCAGCTACGGCGGAACATGCAGGTGAAAGAAAGCACCAGGCGACAAGAGACAACAGCATATTATTGCAGTGGAAAATTGTGTGCTCGGGGGGAGAACAAGTCTTGCCGCGGCTATATCCATTTCCAAAGTCATCCACAGGAAGCTCAGGATGTTTGGGAAGGACGCCGACAGAGTGATGAAAGTGGTTTTGGGAGGTTGTCAGAGAACTGCGTGTGAGGCTCGCGGTTGCTAGGCTCCACTCTTTTATCTACGTATGGGGAAATACTTTCGTAAGCATCCGCCGAACGGTAGACGGGCTGTTGATTCAGAGAGTCAGCGTTGTGGCGCGCGGCCGCCTCCTAGATGCAAAGATAGACCCGGCAGCGATGCAGCCAGCAGACAAAAGCTTGAGCAGACAATTCATCGCCGAGAGCGACCAGATTATCATTAACTTTTCAGATAAATCGTTTACCGTTGGGATTTTGAGGTTCTGGGTGCCACATCCTTCGCAGCGAGAAGTAAATATAATTAGGCCTCTACCTCATGAAAGCTTTGATGGCAGCTCTGGGTTGAGAGTCCTTCATGCGTCTAGACTACCCGCGTCTGGCGATGCTGAAGCCGTACTCCCCAATGGCTAACATCCAACAAGTACTGAATGCCTCTGAGCAAAGGTGTTCGTGCCACTCTTGAGTGTTTCCGGTCCCGGCCCACGATATATGGCTGTTGGTCTGGTTGGTCTGCAGTCTGCGTGACTGCCCACCTGTCTCTGTTGTTGGTCGATCTGTTTGTCTGACCACTTGCTTGCTTACCCGCCCGTTTTTCGGGTTGTTGTCTATTGCTCTGTGGGTAACGCAGATCAAGATTAAGACAGCCAAGATCATGTCCAACATCATGACGACCACCATCACTACGTGCTTCATGGCGTGGAAGCATCACCACCGCACCCTCAAGAAGGCCTCCGCGACAATCAAGGCCCAGGAAAACAAGCTTTTGATCGAAAGGTAGACTTCAGGCTTCATGTGTCTAGAAAATAAAGTAGAAGATTACTACGTACGGTGTATGAGGTTAAGATCAAATTGTAGTAATTCCTTCACTTTTGTTGGGTGGCAGTGCGACGAGCCACGGGCACACGACATGCATACGCCACCCTCGTGTTTGCATGGCGTACACCTTCAACCTGTGGTTGAAAGCGATCTAGGTTGCGAGTAACCAAAATTCGGCTTCACGGTCGAAGAGGGAAAGGGGTGGCTGAACCCTTCTCGCGAAAAAACACGAAGGCAAGCGCCGCAGGGGGAAAGGTGGGGCTTTAAAACAAAAACAAAAAAAGGGAAAAACTACCGTGTGACCTTCCTCTTGTGTGAACTCGGCTGATACATGTACGTCAGGTATACGCCGAAAGGCCTGTAAACCGGCACTAGAATAGATGGGACGAACACACACACACACACACCCCAGGTGTGCCCGCGACCTTGGGGGTGATAGCGTGCTCCTCCAAAAGATTATTTTAAGCTTCACGGCGATCGCTTGGCAATCTGTCTCTTGAACCTCGTCAAGCTTTTTTTCAGCGCCTCATCAGAAGCCTCCTACATTGTCGTACTTGTTCTCTCTCCTTTCTAGGGTATTCACCAGCTGGATGGAGTGCACTGTCGGAAAAGACGCCGACGAAGAAACAGGAGGAGGAAACGGCGTGAGCTCTGCCGCTGCCACCGCCGAACCTTCTGAGCTGACTCAAGAGCAGCCAGCGTCGGCTGTCGAGGTAAGTCAATTGCCTATCGTACAATACGGTGTTTTAGCTAGGTAGAAGGCGCGTGTGAGAGGAAAACGTGTCCCATATGTGTTTGACCTGGGTGAAAGCTGCCAGGCCTGTGTTTTGACGGTCGATTTGGTGTCCTTCCTTCAGGGCAACTCCGCCGTCATTGATCGTGAATACATGTGGGCTTTCAAACTATTTTGAAAAATTCTGTATTTTGACGTGGCTCCCATGTGGAAATGCGGCGGCGGGAAAGAGAAGCCCTCAGGCCAAGCATGCATGCGGTAGGCAGGATCTTAGGCTGGAAAGTTCACAAACGTGTGCCACCTTACGATATCCATATCCCCCAACCCTATTCCTCCCTCTCGACGCTTCCTCTCTCTCCCTCTCGTATCGTTCGATAAATGACGCCTTTTTTCACCGTGTGAAATGTGAAAAATGCAGATGTTGCTCGTGGATGACATGACTGTGCAAGAAGCACAGTGCGCCTCAGAACCACAGCCGCAGCAACAGCAAGACCCCGAACAGGTGAGCGGCAGGCCGACGACAGCTAGCTCAAGAGAGGGGGAGCGGGGGCGTACTCACGTTCTTCGCGCCCTAGGAATGAATGTAAACCCTGATCACCGAGGGTGCCAGACAGGGAGCGACTGGGGTTGGGTGCAAGACTAAATAGTACAGATGTATGAATTCTCCTCTAGAATCAAAATAATCTTCTTTTTGTGCTGTAAGACTTTGTACGCACGTCAGTGTCAAACACCATGTCAAGAAGCAACTACCACACGTCAGCACCGTGTGTGAACAGCGGCAGCAGCGGCAACCAGTAAGCAGAAACACGTTTCCAGTCGAGTCATGTCGTGGCGGTGTCAGCAGAGGTTCAGAGCAATGCAGACCGCGCAGACCGCCGAGCCTCAGGTTGGGACCGACGTTGGCACGCACATATATGCGCATGCATGCATACCTACACACATACATGTGCGGGTGGAAAGCGGACTTTCAACCAAGAAAGACCAGAAAATACATAAACCACGCCTTTGTAAAATAACCCCAAGCACTAGGCAACAGCGATATGGCCCCATGGCTGGCCAGTTTTACGTAAGATCATCAGGACACTGATGGTGTGGTAGTTGGCTCTCTGGGTGTAGCGAGGCGCAGAGAGAGAGGTGGTTGAGCTCTAGGTACGAAGGTCGGATGCCCTACGCGATCTGCATGTGGGCAAACAAGCATATTCTCGCGGGTTGATCTCGCAGTCAAATTCCGACACAAGGATCTTCATCGAAGAACAAGCTCGCGCCAAGCTCCCTTTTATTGGAGTGTTTTGCATGTTCTTCCTTGCCGCGGTGCTCTTTGTACCCCGCTCCGGGGGGAGGTCTTGTATTGGTTGTTTATTTGGCTGGGGTGGTCGGTCCTCTAGTAGAATACTTGAACGAAGTAGAACGGATGGCGCGGGGGGTAGGGTATATCCTGCTTTTTGTTATGTTAACACAGATTTTATCATCTCTTTGGACAGTGTGGGACAAGAAAACTGTTTCAGCCACTACTTCCATCGCCTTTCTCCATGCTTTGTTCGGGATCGTTAATTCTTTAAATAGGAGCCGTATTGTTGCAACTGTTCTTGACGGCCAAAAGAGAAGGCACCGAATTGAACAACTAGCGACTGACAGGGCAACCTCGTCGATGACCCACGATGGAACGATCGACGCCGACTTGAAAACCATCTCTTCTTCTCTGCCTGCCCCTCCCACATGTTCGACCAGCAGCCACAGGAGCCTCTCGACTATCCAGAACAAAAGGACGATGCATCAGAACCTCCGCTGCAACAAGAAACGGCCGAGGAAAGCGATGACACCGGTACAGTGGCAGTCGAACATCCGCCAGAATGGGACCCCGCAGCGGTGTCGATCCAGGCGGCGTGGCGGGGTTACTCTGCCCGCAAGGCGTACGAGGAGGAGAGGGTGACGAGGCAGTGGGCGGCCGTGAAGGTGCAGTCGTGCTTCAGGGCCAGAAGGGCGAGGAGACTCTTCAATAAGCAGATGAGGTACACGCGGGGCGCAAACACCCACAAACGTGTTTGTGGAAGTCGGCCCTGTTTTATTGGGTGACCGGGTTTCCGTGCGGTGCTGTAACTCAAGAGTCCACGACACCAACATACGCAAACGTGACATCTGCCGGCTTCTGCAAAATGGCTTCTGCAAGGTTTTCCCACATTCGTTTGCGACGAGGGGTGGATGCCCACATGTCGCATGACATGTTTTATGTTGGGACCTGTCGGTAAGTCTTGCTCCTCGACGGCACGTGTAGGGTACAAACACAAGCTGCGAGGTCGTCCGGTTTGAATCACCTCTTTCGGTTGGACCCTTTCGGGGGACTAGATGGGCACTGAAGAACGTCGTACCGGATGGCGGGTAGTCTCCGTTTGGGACGTCTTTTTGGCATGAGATTTCCAGCAACTCAACGGTGGATTGTAGCCCTGTTCGGTTGGATCGCACGCACGAAGTTGTGGCTGGGTTTATACGTTGTCTCCTCTAGGCTCACTCTCACACACTGCTATAATGATGCTAACTTTTTTGTTGCCGCATCTCAAACCCTAATGTTTCGTCTTAGGTACAAGCACATCCGCGACATGGTCCGAGAGGAAAAGGAGGCGGATGAGATGGCCGTGCACGACCGGGAGAGCCTGAGGTTGATGAAATACGAAAGGGCTCTCTGCACGTTGGGCCGTGTTCTCCTTGGTTATAAGGGGCGGAAGATCGCCAGAGAGAGGAGACGCCAACTCAGGCTGGAAGAGGTGTGCGCAGGGACACGGAAAACAGAAACGTTGACATATTTTGTTGAAACAAGACCCATTGTATCCTTTTCGTTAGCAAGGGGTGAATACGTGACTACCCTTAGTGGACGCGTGCACTTGAAAACCGCAAGGTGTGCATCGTTTTGCATATCGCGCGTCGATTGGTACAGCATTTTTTTTTATATCATTGCTGCCGCCGGCCTCCGAATTGCCTGTTCAGCCTCCGCAGTGCCTGTTCGCCATGTGCCACGTTCACTCGTTCTTTTCCAAGTCCGAAGAACACGCACGTTACTTTACTGTTGTTCGACTCTTGAAGCTTGAGCATATTGCACCATTTGTAGTCACTGCCGTAGTACCTTACATCACACCGAGCGGTAAGAATACTTCTTGCCCCTCACGAGTACGCCTTATTTACATTGGAATGGCGGATGTTTCACGTGAACGGCAGATCCTCTGCTTTCGTGCTTTCCATTAAATGCATCAATCCTCGTGTTTTGTATGTTCACGGTCACGAATCATACATGCCTGTGCGGCAACTTGCTCCTGGTGTCAACACTCTGACTTTGGTTTGGAGCTGCCATTCTGTTGTTGTTGTCATTGCCACTACCGGTGCTGCTCATGTTGACGACGATTATGCTACACGCAGGCTGGCAAAAGGTTTGCAGAGAGAGAGGAAGCGCTGCGGCGGCACGAAGAAACACAGCGGAGGCTGGAGGTCCTCCGGAAAGATGAGAAACTGGCAGCAACCATCATACAGGTACTTCGCTTGACTCCATTGAGAAATAGGAAACGTTGCGCTCCCAATTTTGTAGTCGGCAAAGAGAACCCTCCGAAGCAACATACGGAAAAGGGTCCAATGTCTTTGACGGAAATCAGGTTGACACAAACATATATCTTGAGGTGGTCTTGAGACGTGAAGCCATTTTGATGTTGTGTCGAAGAAATACGATAATTCGTGTTTGGGGAGGGGGTCCTTCGGGAGGTGAACGACTTCAGTGAGAGTTAGGGGCATGATAAGGTGCACGGGCGTGCCTCGCAAGACTGACCGGCTGGGCGCTCCTGTCTCAACCAACACAATGCTTAGGCTCAAATAACAGCCGACATCACAGGAATTCATCTCGCTCTCGCACGACTCTGCCTGCCGAGCAAGCTAGTATAAAACGTCCCGTTTGGTTTTTGGTTTTGCTCACACGCTCTGTTCCGTGTGTGATGTAATTCCGTCGGTTCCGACGGTACGTTCTTACACATGCTGGACATTTGGTTGCATGTGGTCCTTCGTCGCAATGAACCCTTGCAGGCGGTGTATCGGAGTAGGCTGGCCCGGAAACGAGTCGCACTCATTAGGGAAGACAACCGCCGCACGAGAGCGGCGACTATGATACAACAGATGATCCGCTTCAGGGGTGCTCGGCACGAGGCGGCGGCGAGAAAGCGACACTTGGGTGGGTATATCATACATTTGCCCGCCCACCCAAAGTGGGGTGCAGCGGTGTAACGGTGTCGAGAACGATGTCGAGGACTGCAACTGTGTAGGCCCACGACGCAAGCTATTGTTGTATGCCAAGAGATGGAGATAGATGAGGTCCCGTGCAATTCGATGATTCCAAGGCTATTGCTTTCCATACGGTAGTGCTGCTCTTGCCACAAAACGGAGTGGTAATTGTTTTGGTTGGTTCCGTTCTTTCACAGGGCCAATTGCTGCGGCGCCAGGTACCGAATAACTTCCTCCCTATTTTTTTTCCTTCAGCTGATATGTCGCTGTTGCTATTGGTGAAGGTGTGGGTTTCTCTCATGTTTAGCGTTATCCACATACTAGATACGCCTAGAGCGGCCTCCTGCATCAACAGCGCGCACGACCTTCTTCGTGAACATGTTGTGCCCATTGGTGTCTCGGGGCAAGATACGTACACTCAACAGAGAAGAGTGAGCTCAGTTTGCAGTTCGACTGTCCAAAGCATACAACCTAGCCGGCTTTCCACCACACATCACCACACACCACCACCGCCGCCACCGCCACCGCCACCGCCACTACCACCATCATCATCAACGACACACACTTTGACCCTGAAAAAAGAAGCTCCTCAACCTCTTCAGTTTCGCAAGGGTCGGTTGGTCAATGGTTGCAAGCACGAAGGGCAGCGAACCACTGAGTGCACATCTTTTCCCCATGCCCCGTTCAGGACGTACTGCCTACGTAAACCTCGGCCGGCAGCGCCAGGCCCTCTTCCTCCGATTGGTCGGCCTACGGAACCGCCGCTCCCAGAGACCGGCCATCCGCTTGCTGCGGAAGGTCGGCGCCGACCTGATGAGCTTCACCACGGCCATGCGTATCCAGCAGAAGGATTTAAGGGAGGGGGCGCGACTGGCGTGGCAAGAGTTCCAGACGCACAGAGAGGCGTTCAGGTTGGTTTGCTCGGATGCACGCTGTGCGTGCAGAAAATCCATCGCTGCTCTGTCGCAGTGTGGTTACGCTGTGAACGAGTTTCGTCAGCGTCGTTTCCTTCTGTCGTATGTGGTGAGAGGTTTGCGACCGTGTTGGCTGTTCTCGGCGAGGTTTGGCTGGGAATATGGTAGCGTTGCGCTGATATTCTTATCTCAAGAGTCAACATCCACACTTGTTTCTTTGCTCTTCGTGAACGCGATAGTGTTTGATAGAGAACCTCACATCTCCGGAAGCACATGTCCTGCCCCACGGCAACCCCGTCAAACTCACCACCACCACCACCACCAACAACAACAACAACGACGACGACGACGACGACGACATTCGGAACCAGGACCTGCGGGCGTAACGCTTACCGACGGCGAAACTTCGTCCGAGCTCAGCAGCTAGAAGACCTGGAGCGCAAGCGCATCCGACGAGGAGACGCCGTTCAGATTTTGAACCGCGAACATGAGTTCTGCGGGTTCACAGGACGTGTCCTTCACGTGGACTGTAGGGACCCCGGTCGAGAGGTTGCAGAGGTGAGGGAGGAAAGGGGGGAGGAAAGGGGGGAGGACATGTCCCTATCTCCCTTCGTTTGAACACATATGTGCAGCGCGGTTGTTCCTCAAGGCTGGTGGGGTCTTAGAAGTTGTGACCCAATTGGCTACTTAACTGCAAAGCTTGTCTCATTAGTTTGCTGATGTGCTGCGGTGTTGAGGCACGCTACATGTAAGTGGTTGGTAGTACCAGTGGTACCCAGCCACAACTTCATTGAACGACGGTGAACGCCCTTGCCTCCCCTGACATATATCTTCTCGTCGCTACCCGCCTACCCCAACTGTATGTCCTGAACGGATTCAGGTCAAAATCGATGACGGCACTGCTCGCGTTGTCTTTGTCCGACTGCTTAGCCACGAGGTTGGGAGCGAAGACACCCCGGTCGTCAATATGCTCAAGGTCTGGTTCAAGCAAACTAACGTTTCAAAAGCATATATAGGTGCAATTAGGTAGGCTGCACCACCAAGAGCCGAAGGTTTTTGTGGTTGGAGGGCAGCAAGGACCTCCAAATCCTGGTTTGCATGCCTGGAAACCCTTCCCGCACGCTCATACAAACCCGCGTAGAAGTAATCTTTCCCCCATCGTGACTTGCGTCTCGTAACCCTTCCGGTGGTCAAACTACCCATCCGAAACAACCCTGTCATCAAGCTACCTTTTGGCGAGTCCACTTCCTCGGCCGCATTCACTCATACTCGCCCTTCATATTTTTCCCATGTAAATACTCCCTGTGTACCTAATCTATCCCTTCCTATCTACCCCCCAGATCAACCGACAAGAACTCCGTCATCACGAACCGGAGGAGCTTGCCCTGGTGAGGGACGCCCTGCTTGCCTGGGCCGACCGAGAGCGGGAGAAGTGGCGCCCCCAGCTCGCCGCGGTTGCTATTCAACGACGAATCCGGTGAGCGAGGAGTGCTCACGGCGTAGGGTCAGCGGGCGAGCGCGATATGGAGAGGCGATGGAGTTGTCAAGTCGATGGAAACGGTTTTGCCCCCAGCCTTAAGAGTCGTGTGTGTTTGTGTGGTACCAATAACTTTGTTCCAATATTGTCGTGAATTGCTTTCGTAGGGGGTTCATCGCGAGGCGCAGCACCGCACGGAGAAGATACCGTCATTGGACCCGCAAGCGCGCTCTGCGGCTGACGTTTCTCCGAGCTCTCGATGTCAACAATACTGCCACCTACCAGGTGATTGTTTCGATGCGGTACATTAGCTACATTTACTTATTCTTTAGTGTTCGTGGAGGTGGAGGCGGTGCTGTCCCCACCGCTGGTGTAGCGTGTAGGGCCGCTCATTCAACAACAATTGTTTTCTGTGCGTCCTACAAACAAAGGCTGTGCGAGCTGCGGTGATGATGCGGGTGATAAAAGAGACGGACGTGCCGACGAATATGCCATGGATCCCGCCGGTGCCGCCGCGATTGGAAGAGGCCTTCAAGCGCCGCAGGCGCCGGATCATCCTCCAGGAGGAAATACGAACGCGCACCGCCGATAGAATGCAAGAAGAATTTTGTTTTCATGGGATGATACTGCTTTCTTTTTCTCTTCCGATAGAGCTGGCTCAACATGCGTACTAGGTTAGAGCTCCCCCTCTCCGCCGAACACAAAGCGGTCTTTGTTTAACACCTGCTATATCAAAGCTGCTCGTGATGTTGGTGGTGAGGGTAATATGGCACAAATGAGGTATAGAAAAAGAGGGGTTAAATGTAAGTTATTTTCCTTCAATACCCGACAAGGTCCGAGAGTCGCTCTCCACGGACCAAAATTTTATTTGGCTACTTCGTGCGGAATGGCAACCGCACCGACAAATAACTTTGAAAAAGGATTTTTCGCCGTAAACTTGCAAAAAGGGCGAAACAGATCGTGACAGGACGCTACCATCGAACCACGTTGCTCCGTCTCCGCCGTGGATGCTGTACAGCTCATTCGAACGTAGGGTGCACCGGTTTGATCAGCGACAAACAGGTTGTTCTACTTCCCACAATTTTATTCGTTTTTCACGTTCACCGGTTGCTGATGTGAAAGGCAAAGCTTTATCGAAAAGCGGTTTCGATCGCTGCCCGACCCTGCTTGTGTGTAGTGTCGCTGTCGTTCTTTCTGCGCCTAGCCCTACCTTGAAGCAACTCCACTCTGCTACTTTATGTGCCACTCGTTGGGTACTACAGGGCCTTGATCAACAAGAATTCTAAGAAGCTGCAGTGGAAAACGCCCACGTACGGGCCGCTCATCCGGCCCTACCACCCGTACAAAGAGGTACGCGCGGCAATCGGCCAACACACGGTGGTGGTGCTGCTGCTGCACTGACGAGGCGCTTTGCTGACAATGACACGGCTTAACTTCAATTTGTCGTGCGTACGGATAACAATGAGGAGCCATAGACAAGCCAAGCTAGTGCCTACATGTACCCCGCCTAAGGATCCGTGAGATTGTGTGAGTGTTTGGAGAAGATTTCCCCCAATCCCATCGATTCCTCCAAGGTAGAGATCCTTCACCTAATACCACTGTGTTGCCGCACCATGTTGCGCGTTTGATCCTCATGCTCATTGTTCGTTCGTTAGACAGGGTTGACTATGTTATTGTGACCCCCCCGTCCGTTCCATCAACCTTTGCTTCCCTTCCAGTACATGAATGGGGTCCCTGTCCAAACCACCCGACTGATGCACACACCAAGATTTTGCCTGTCTTCTTCCCCCACCCGAATCATCGTCTGCTCGAATATCTTTTGATGCCTTTCACGAAGGCATGGGCCCGACTGCTATCCAAGGTGGCGCACCCGTCCGCCCTTCCTGGAATTTTCCATTCCATCGCGGGATCGTCGTACATGGAAGCTCTCGAGATAAAGGCCCAGGTATCTTGTAAGAATTCAAACCATTCTGCTCTACACCTACAATATGAAAAGAGTTATTCGTCCTCGACAGACTTGTCGGGAGATGTGACCCTTCCTTAAAATAGGTCATCTCCGCAACAGGCCGTTTCGACGGCGTGGCCCTGCCCAATAAACGATTAAACGTATGCGACACAAAGCACTCGGCATCCTTATTCAGATTGAGAAGAGGCGATTTCAATGCGAAACAAACATCCACCAAGGTGGTCATGTAAATTGTATAATAGCGTCGTCGCGAACGTCTCCTCCCTTATGAGCAGATTGAAATGCTGCTCGGGTATCAGAATTTTTTCAGGAGTTCCGGGCTTGCGGTTGTTGTTTGGCGTTTTGCACTGTCACTGTGTTCTTCGTCCATAGTAGAGGCGGAGGCGGCGGAAGGGGCAAGCACTGGGCAAACCAACATGCACATCAGCATGGCACACTTGCGATCATGCTGGGGAGTTGGTATCGCTTCACAGCTCGGGCGCGTCTACCAAACGAACCTCTGCAGGAAGACCCGGAATACGTCCTCTCAAACAACTGAAACCCTGCGTGGAGCAAAACAAAGTCATAGTAACACCACGCTGTTTTTTCGAAACTGTTAAAATGAACAACGTGAACCATCCAAGCCTACAAAATTTACTTTGAACGAACGATAAAAAACACTCGAGCAGGCAAGAACGGTCTTCACGGGTGGCTTCCACTTCACGGAGCTCGAGCAAAGCCCCCACGTCCGCACGGGGGGCCGAGCGTTCTTCCACGGGTCCTGGGCCTGCCCTCCCCCCCCCCCGGACAGCGACACCTCCTCGACGCACTCTTCCGAAGAAGTTATCGATTATGACCGAAGCAAAAGGCCTGAAGTTGGCAGCAGCTCCGAGGACGATGAAGACACGGGTTGTGTCGCGGTGGGGGGAGGAGAGGAGGGGTTCGAATTGGAGAGGCGTGAAGATGAAGGGGGCGAGGCGGCTGTTGCTGGCAAGGAGAGGATCAAGAGCAACAAGCGGCGACCTGCTTGGGGGTGGCCGACGATGAAGAGTAAGAAAGTGTACAGTGGTGGCGATGAGGATGTTGGGTTGGAGAGGAAAGGTGGTGATCATCACGACGGTGGAACGAACAAGAACAGACAGAGGGAAGCAATAAAGAAGAACAAGGATCGGAGGAGGAGAAAAAAGAAAAGGCAGCGAAAAACAGGGAAAGATAAATCACAACCTCACGGGGAAGGCTACGTCGAATTCTTGGACGGCTGGGGAGTTTCTCAGGTAGGGTCGCTAGCCAACTCCAGTGTCTTGCCTTTTCTTCGATAAAATTAACTACGGTAACTGATCATTCAATAGACGTTCAGCGTATGTAGGTGGATACATACAAACGCGAACCACGTGTATGCTTGTCATTTATTGGCGTCGACGACGCTACCCTGTGCTATCGAAATATGTCAGTTCCAGCGGGTGAAAGTCAAAGTCCCCGGACTGAGGCCGCAGCGGCAGAAATGGGCGGTACCCTGAATTCCAAAATGAAGCATTCCTCAAACGCTTTGCGAAGGCACACACCAAGACGATAGCCCACCGCGAGCCCTCACCCTGTGTGTGTGCGCGCACTGGCAGGAGGAAAAGACGCTGTATGTAACAGTGGTGTCGGGTCAGGGCCTCGCGGGAAACGACCGGTCGATGCTTATTCAACACTGCGACCCATTCTTTCAGCTCAAGTGCAACGGAAAGACCCACCACACCTCCACCAAGCACAATACCCGGGAACCCAGGTGTGTGTGTGTGTGTGTGTGAGAGAGAGAGAGAGAGAGAGAGAGAGAGAGAGAGAGAGAGAGGAAGAAGGAAAAAGAGAGATAAAGAGAAAGAGAGAGAGAGAAACTGAAACCGAAAACAAACGTGAAACCGAAACAAACGTGAAACCGAACAAGGGTTGAACCGCAAAGGACCTAAAAGGTTAAGTAAGCCAAAAAGATCCAACCAAACAGATTAAACCGAAACGAAATGTTAAGCCGAAAAGATTCGACCGAAAAGTCAAGCCGAATACATGAAAATGGAAAGGCTAAGCCAAAAAGGATAACCTGAAAACAATCGTGTAATCGAAAAAAAACACACGTGAAACCGAAAAGGACCGAAAAGGACCGAAAAGGACCGAAAAGGACCGAAAAGGAGAAGCCGAAAAAGTTAAGCCGAAAACGTGAAACCGAAAAGGTTGAGCTGAAAAGGATAAATTAAACAATTTTTTTGTGAAACGAAAACAAACGTGAAACCGAAAAGAACCGAAAAGGATATGCCGAAAAGCCGAAAAGTGTAAGCCGAGAAAGTCAAGCCGAAAACGTGCAGAAACCGAAAAGGTTGTTGGTTAGTGGGGCTGATCGTCAGAGGCTGTGTGCAAAAGGTTGACTCAAGACGTTTGTTCGTTACTGAGATCAACGAGTGAACAGCAGGGCCAGAAGCCCTGCATTCCAGAAGGGGCTCCGCCCTTCCAGTAACGCATACCCACATACACGAACCCCCCCCTAGATCGCCGTGGATTCGTATCTAGTGCTGAGTACACCAAACAAGGTTGAGCTGAAAAGTGCACTAAACCGAAAACAACGTGAAACGAGAAAACGTGAAACCGAAAAGGACCGAAAAAGGATAAGGCGATATTGTTAAACCGAACGAATCAAACCGAAACCGAAATGGTACAGCCGAAAACAAAGATGAAACCGCAAAATTTGAGCCGAAAACATGAAACCGAAAGTAAAGCTGACAAGATTTAAACGAAAAAGTTAAGACGAAGACGTCAAAGAAACCGAAAAGGTCGAGTCGAAAAGGATAAACCGAAAACGTGCAACCGAAAAGGACCGAAAAGAAAGGAGAAGCCGAAAAAGTTAAGCCGAAAAAATAAAGCCGAAAAAGTTAATAAGCCCAAAACGTGAACCCGAAAAGGGTAAGCCGAAAAGGATAAACCAAAAACAAACGTGAAACGAGAAAACGTGAAACCGAAAAGGACCGAAAAGAACGTGCCGAATAGATGAAGCCAAAGGTCAAATCGAAAAGGTCAAGCCGAAAACGTGAAGTAACCGAAAAGGTTGAGCCGACAAGGACAATAAACCGAAAACGTGATACCGAGAACGTGAAACCGAAAAGGTTGTAACAACCCGAAAAGGACCGAAAATGTTACGCAGAAAAGATTAAACCGAAAAGGTTTAGCCGAAACATGAAACCGAAAACGTTAAGCCGAAAAGATTAAACCTCAAGAGCAAAGCCGAAAACGTGAAGAAACCGTAAAGGTAGAGCCGACAAGGATTCCCCGCAGCGGAGGTGTCGTCACGTGTAGAGGCGCTCTCTTGGCCGAGAAAGTGAGACGGGGACAATATCTTGATTGGGCAAACACATTTGCAATCGTGAGAGCACGCGTAGGAAAGAAAGATGAGAAGGTTGTCAATGCTCTATCTGGTACTTGACGTTTGTGTTTGTGACGACCTCGTGCATGACAATAACAAAAAAAATGGCAAAAATAAGTATCGGGGATGAAAATAGCGCGATCCTTGTCCGTTTTCTTGTGGACTGGCGAGAGGTATCTCCTTTGCCACTTCCCCCGCAGCCCCCCACCTTACCTTCTAGCAATGGCACCAATTTATCAATGCCGATCGTTTGTTTCGATTACAACCATCATATAGGTACAACGAAACGTTTGAGTTCGATGTTTCCAACCCGGAGTCAGTTCTGTTCCTGGAGTGCTGGGAAGAGGACACCTTCAGCAACAACTACATTGGGTCGATTAATATACCAATCCGAGAGCTCTCGGACGGGAAGAAGGTATGCTCGCTCTTTGACTCGTCGGCTTGGGGTCGATTCGAGTCAAATCTTTTCGTTATAATTGTTTTGGGCGGTCGTGTTTTTTTTTTTCGCATCCTACATTACAGATGCCTTGTGTAATTTACGTGGTCTTGCTGAAGTTTGTCCCTCCCCCCCGGACCAACGTTGTTCCAGACCCATCCATGTTCGGAGGGCTCTGGCACTGAGCTGGTGTTGGTATCAGTTCAGAGTCCTGAGTTGTCCTCGTGCCACTGAGCTTCTCGCATATGCCCATTGATGATGGACGTACAACACGCCGTGCCGGCATAGCCCGCGCCTGGCGCAGCTCAAAACTCGAGTCTCTTCTAACGAGGCGCACGCACTGCTTACACTTAACAGCAGTGATAAACCTGCTACAACGAACAATATCTCTTATCCCCCCTGCCCCCGCCCTCCTGGCTTTCTCTCGCAAATGGGTGAATCAATCATCCTCCTTCCACCCCGCCCCTCGTGTTCTGCTTGTCTCTCGATGAAGGTACGCAATTGGTTCACTCTCGGAACAGGAAAAGTCCGAAAGACGAAGGTGACCAAGAAGGAGAAGCAGCGAGGAAGCGTCGAACTCAGTGAGTCTGCTCTCCTCGCCCTCCGACTACCCGCTACTGAATTCCTGCAAGACCCCATAATGTTTCTCGATCGGTCTGCCTTGTGTGGTGAAACAGAGCAAACCTGCCCAGTGGTGCGGTTGCACTATGCACGTCCCTCCTCCTGCCTCTTCGCTAGTCGGTGTTTGGCCTGGGCGCATGGCAATTTCTTCGACGAAAACAGCAACAACATTTACCAAGCAACAACATTACTACTTAAATAATTGCACAGTTCTGCAGTGGCTGCCCAAGGAGACAGAGGACGACGTAAGCATCCGCATCCGCCTCTCCAAGGCGGCCGTCGTGCTGCAGTGCTGGGCGCGAACGATCGTGGCCCGGAGGGAGTTCTCGGAGGCCGCCGCGGAGTTTGCGGCGAAGGCGGAGTTTGCCTTCATCGTGACGAGGAAGATACAGATGTGCTTCCGCCGTCACCGCGCGAGGGAAGAGCTGAGGGTGCGCCGGATGCGCTATCGCAACGCCTGCATTTTGCAGAAGTTTGCTCGAAGAAAGGTTCGTGTCTGTTATAGTGGTTCTACACGTGTTTAAATACGCTTGTTCTGCGGTCGCTGCGCTTTGGAATCGTCGTCGACTAGCTCGCAAAGAATAGTTGTCCCCTTTTGCAAAACCCTGATTTCCAACACTTCTTATTCAATCACGCCCCACATTTGTTCCTGCAGCCCACTGCACAACGACGACCTCAATCTTCAGCGAATCATACAGTACCAACACATATCGACACGTGGTGCCTAGAAAATCGCTTAATCGATTCATCATAAGAAAAGCTTAGTTTGTGTCGTAGACGGATCAAACCTACGTTTTTTGTGCAACAGTAAGAATTGCAATTGCGTCATTCTCGGGAAACCGGGGTCACGAAAAGCACACCTGGCGTACCCCCGGCGGAGATTCATGAGGAAGAGCACGTAGAAGCTGTAGGTCGGCATGCTTGAGAGAAGAGAGAGAACTACGGAGCACGTGAGAACGACAAACGATAGAGGCACTGGCCGTCGTGGCCACGTGTTCAACGTAGTATCTGGAACATCGTTTACATATTTCTTAATCAATTCACAATATATGTAGACTACCTGGTATTCCTATGTAGAGACTATTCCTTCGTGATACAGACGACGAATCAGTACCCCCCACCCCCTCCTTGCCCCTTCCCCTCCGGTTGCCAAATTGCCCACCGTCCTGTGTACACTACACCAATAACGACCGTGCCTTCCAACCCACCCCCCTCCCAAAAAAAAAACACAAAAAGTTGGCGTTCATCGAAGCGGCTTGGCGAAGGCTGTGCAGGGACAAGGCCACCATCATTCAGTGCTTCGTCCGGCAGTACTTGTCCCGGCAAGAGCTGGCCCGCCTGCGGGAGGCAAGGCGCATCTTGGAGAGGGACATGGCTACGAATATACAAGCCAACGCGAGGTCAGTCGGTTGGCATCAATATTTACCGAGAGTTTCGGACGAAATCGCATAGGGCGCAACGTAAAGTGCTTTGCCGCACTTGCTTTCTGTCGATCGTTGTACTCGCGTGTTTAGATATGTCGTTCCGCCGTCTTCTATTATATATATAATAGCTTCTTCCATTCTCGTTCGTTCGAAGTCTAGCCTGCCCATTTTCTCGCCCGTTTGACCCACGCACCAAAACACCAACGACCCACTCCGCCTGCTTCCGTTGCCCCGATCTCCTCTTCTGGGGCGAACTCGAATCTTATCACAAACCCAACGACCCCTCTTGTCGGTCGCTTGGGGTTGGTGTCGCCGTCGCGCAAAAACAACGCCCTCGGCACGCCAGGGGAAAGCTCGCGCGTATGTTCGTGGCGGCCAAGCGAGCAGCAGCTCTCGCGGAAGAGGGAAAGACAGGAGAGGAACGATCGTCCTCGGAGGACCCCGTGCGATCGGTTGCCAAGTGGCTACCGACATACGGCACGGACCCGTATTACCCCTCGAGGCGCATCAGGCGCATTACGGAGAGGGTCTACTTCAAGGTGATTTTTGTGAACATGGAGCAAATTGGGTAGTAATTTGTAGGGGGGGACTGGTGTAGGCTCCGGGCCCCGCCGACCCACGCCCATTCGTACGCGCAAGAAAAAAATGCTGCGGCCGATTGCAACTGTGACTTGGATTTTCTCGAGTGTCAAGCTTTTGTTCATTTGCGAACCTGCTCTGGTCTTCGATGGGGCGGTACGACTACGGTTTCCAGGCAAACGCACTCACAGAGGACTTTCTTTTCAGTAGACTGTCGTGATATAGATGGGCGGACCAAGTAATGGGCCACTACGTTTTGTACCGGTGGTGTTACGAGGCTATCGTGCCATTGGTTCTCGGACAGAGTACCCACGTAGTGTCGGTGCGTACTCCGTACAGGTCGTG